AAAACCTAAATAGACTCTACAAAAAGGGTAAAGATCTTAATCTCTCTACACATTCAAAAATCTTCTCCAATCCTTGCAAATCATCATCACCTTATCTCTCTTATCATCTCTTTGAGCTCAACAACCATGGCTGCAAGAAGAGTTTCAGGTGAAAAAACTTCAAGGGCCTCCTCATCTACTTCCATTCCGGTTTCCGTCGTATCCTTAGTACCTCCGGAGTTTACTGAAAGCTTCACCAAAAATTTTAGTAAAATATCTGTGGTCAAGCAACACGCTTATTATCGTCTCTCGGCGGAGCGCATGCACATTCCTCGCATCATCGATCTTCTTGATTTTCAAGGGGTAAACAACTTTTTGGAGTACGATGAAAAATATAATGAAGACCTTGTACGCATCTTCTACACATGTCTTCACGAAAAATTTCCGGGTTCTCAATTTCACACTAAGATTGGCAACACAAAGGTTAGTGTCACTACTGTTGTCTGGTAAAAATACTTTGATATGTCTCTTGATTCGGACAAGCCTCTCTCTGAGGTCACTGACACCCGCACGGTGGAAGGCTATGAGTTCAAGACAACTTTGAACTCTATGTTGAAAAAGTCGCATGCTGATCATATTGTGGCAAGCGACTTATTTCCGAAGACCGTCACCACAAGAAAGTTGAAACCACAGGATATGATTCTGCAATGGATAGTGGCTCACATTCTGCGGCCTAAGAAAGGTGGTTTTTCTCGCGTTGATCAGGCGGAAGTTCACTTGATGTACATTTTGAGAAACAAGATTAAAGTTAATTGGCCTTACTATATTGCAAGTAGGATTTACGCTTTAAGGGACTCAGGTCATGGTACAACTCTCTCTTATTGGTCAGATATTCAAGAGTTCTTAACTAGTGCTAAAGTTGCACTTCCGACATTTCCGTATAAATCGCTCACTTATGACCAAGAGTTTTGTCAGAAAACTCCATGGTGGGTTATATCTGGCTTAATGATGAATAGCGGTACAAATTTGTTGTTAAAGCCACTACTTCCTGGGTAGAAGACTCCGATGAGAGTGAGGAGGAAAGTGAAGAGGATGAAGAAGAAGAAGAAGAACAAGAGGAGCAAGATGATCGATAACCAATGGAGGCTGACGATCAAATAAATGAGGATTAGGTTCAACATACACCATCCACAGAAGATGGTAATGACCAAGGTTGGGGTCAGTGGCAACACATCGGGTGGACAACAATGCGTGAATACTATCAGCCTTCACAGTATAAAGAGCCAACGAATACCCCGTAACCACAGTCTTCAGAGCTTCTAGATATGATGCGGGCCATGTAGTTAGAGTAACGTACCTTCATGAATGCTCAAGACGAGCGGTTCGCCCAAATTCAGAGCCAATTCGAAACACACACTGAAAGATTCAACACCTTCTCCTCGAATATTAATGAACGGTTAGATGCTCTAGTTGGATCGACTGAAAGTCAGGAGTAGGCTATTTCACACAATCTCAATACTTTGAACAATGTTGTTTTGGAATTTACCGACATGGCAGTTCGTATCGTGGAAGAGGCCAACACTTCAGGGGGAGGGGATATTGAAGCCTCTGCATTGAAGCATCCTTTCATTTCATCCTTTTTATGTTGTCTTGTTATTTTGCATTGTATTAAATAATTTCTAGTTGTGACAATGCTTTGCATTTTTTAATGCTTTATGACTTCCTGAGCACTAATTATTCTGTGTTTTATTAATATATGGTTTATTTATCTATTCGTCTCTTGATCATTGATGTTATCATGTGTGGATAATTGTTCATGTTGGTTGTTACCTGTTGTACATTCTTTTTGATTTGAGCCTTTATTTCTTAACCAATCTCTCTTTCTTTTTGATGTTGTCAAAGGGGGAGAAGAGTGTGCCAAGATAATAGTAAAAACTATGAGAGTTGCAAATGGAAGACGTCGCAAATAGAGGCATCAAGCAAGGGGGAGGTTAATACCGCACATCACACAAGCCGGTTTCACATGTTTTGCCATCATCAAAAATGGGGAGTATGTGAGGAAAAAGCCTCATATACTATAGCGTGTGTTTCAATGATGTCAAAACGCAACCACATGGAAGAATCGGTACTTGGCATTATCACCACAAGGCATAAGCATACCTTATCTCTTACGTCTCATTTGCTTGCATGTTGTGTCATCCAATTGGCGTTATTCAAGTCAAACATCATTCGTGGATTATATGTTGCATCTAGAAGTGTCAAAAACATAAAAATAAGCATTTTTGAAAAATACAGGTCTTTGAGTCGACCACTCATTTTGCTCCGGTCGACTCATAGAAGGTGTCTACAAAGTGTATTTCCACGGGTTGGCGCACGTCGACCTCCAGTCGACGCATACTGTTGTTATTTCTGTTTGTCTAAAAATACAGACTTTGCGTCGACGCATGGTCCTATTTTGGTCGACGCATAGCCTGTTACTTTGCATAATCTGTTATGTCTGGGGAGTTCCGGTCGACCACTCCTTTTTGTATGGTCGACCGTTCGCTGTTTTTCTGCATAATTCTAGTCTTTCCACTTATTTCGAAAAGTGGTTTTGTCTGTTATTTTTTTTGGCATACTATAAATAGAAAGTTGCTAATTTTCATCAAACAACAATTGAATCAATTGCAAAATAAGAAAAGTGAAAGAGGTGCCATTAGTTCTCATCATCTTCATCTTCTATATTTCATACCACAACAATCACACACAATAATCTTTGTTGTGCATTATGGTTTGTTTGAAGTGATAATGTCCGAAGCCGTTGATAGAGAATCTGGTTCGGGTTGAGATTTTGGCAGGTTTTTCTTGAATAAAACCTTGAGGGTTTTTTCCTCCAAGATTCACCGAATTTGGGGGTTTTTGGTACGAATCTTCTCAACATATATTTAGCTGAGCTAAGGTGATCGAGGAGCGGTTGGTTCCGTCGATCTAGTAGCGGTAATCAGTGAATTGTGAAGGAGAGGTTCGAGTTTGATTGGCAAGTGGTTGATATCAGTCGGGTTGGGGTTTGAAAACGCAAGGTTGTTCAACCAAGGAGCTGTAATCGGAGGTTCATCCACAAGCAATCGAAGGACATAATGTGATTGATCTTGCTATGGCTAAATTATAAAATATATGCAGTGAGCTTAGCTTGAGACTGACTTAAAACTGTAGCAAATTCAGAAAAGCCTTGCTTATAGGTATACAGGTAGACTTCATAGTAGCCCTTTTTTTTTGTTAAAAAAACTCAATTTCAAATATGTTAAAGAAGTTCATGGATGAAAAAAAATAGTAAATTATATTTCAAGGAAAATTCATTTGATGCGTGCACCTATGCGGAGTCTTGTCCTTGTCCTGTTCAGCCATTAATTTGAACAATCTCAAAATAATTACAACCTTTATTCGGCTTTTGGTTGCTATTAGCCAATTGCTCCCAGAACAATGGTAGTCATTGTTCATAGATTGTAAAGCAGATTTCATAATAATAAATACAAAAAGAAAATGACCGATGTCCATAAAGCGGATTAACCTGCCAATGGAGAAATTGAAACTGTGGTGACTGATCTGCATACTTTCTTCAAACCTATTTTTCTTCATATCCATTTTTTCAAGTTTGCATAACACTTTTTCTTAAGATTGTGATTGTTGAAAAGATTTGTTTCATAAATTACCTACAAAACGTGAAAATAAAACTTCAAAAATCAAAACCCTAAAAGAAAAAACTCAGCTCTGAGAGGAAAACTACAAATTGAACAAAAACTCAGATTTGGATTTAGACGAAGTAGAAAAAGGAGCAAGATTTCTTCATCATCACTCAATATCAACAAAAAACCTCAAATATGAAAAATAAGAACCTATTTGAAACGAAAACCATACAAATAATGTTAGTGATGTTGAATAAATAAAAATGAAATGGCTGAAAGCAAAAACCATAAAAATGGTAGCGGCGATAATGGTGATAGTGGCGTTGTCGACATGAAATTTAGAAGTGGTAACGAAAAAGATTAGAAATTAAGGAAGGAGATTTGAGAAGAAAGATGGGAAATCAGAGAAAAGAGAAAGTGAAATGGAAGAGAGAGAAAAAATGAAGAGAATAATGTAAAAAACATTTATATAAAAAAAAAGAATTGTTTAATAATATAATATATCAATTCAGTGTAGAAAGACAAAAAAAAAACTAACAAATTCAATAGGTTTAAAAAAAAAATAGAGAGGGATAGAATGATATTTTTCTTAGACTAAACTTTAATTATATGGTAGATTTCCTATTTTTTGTTTGGATAGATTTAAGTTTGAACTCCCTATAAATTAATATCAGTCTCATTACTAATAACTATAATACTATTTCTATTTTTGCAAATCTCAATATGAGAGAAGGATGATATTGTACACACACAAAAATGATTGATGATAGGTTCATAAACGGAGAAATATTTCATTGACACATTTTTTTTATAAACTTCACTGACTTTTAATTAATCACATAATCAATTAAATTTAAATTAATTAATCAATTAATTAAATTAAATTTTAAAAATATAGTTAATTTTATAATTGAATTAATCAATGCATAATTCTTTTTAAATACTTAAAACCTATTAATTTAAGAGGATATTCCACCAACCATTCGTGAGAGTTCTGTTTAAAGTTAGAACAAAAGTCCGCATAGACTAACCCACATAAAAATTGATTACACCCAACAAAATTTAAATTTAAAATTTTAAGAGAAACATTCTCTCAAAATCTCAAGATCCAAATTTCTGCCACTAGACGGACCTAACAAAATTGAATTGAACACTTTTTACACATTTTGTTTTGACTGTATTAACTTCAATTTAAAGAAATGATTTGGAAAATTGAAGAGCGCTGATAATGTAACCGAATTAAAGGAGTTATTATTATTCTCTGCGACCTTTCCAATCAAAACTCCCCCTTATTCAAGTACCATGCAATAACTCTTCCTTTCCCTCAAAAACCTGAGTGAGACATTAACACATACACCAATGGCGCAACCATCCTCATCCTCGCCCTCACCCTCACTCCTTTGTCTCGACGCCGTAGATGATGTTTATTTCTCTGTCGTCTCCGACGATGAAACCGACCCTGCCCCCGTCTCCGATCACAAGTACGCTGAAGCATTACAGTTCCAAGAAGCGTTAATGTCCTCTGTCATCACTTCGTCCCAACCACGACCACCACTACCACCACCGTGTGTAGCTTCTTCGTCAGGAACCGTCGATGAAGAGTTACTGTTCAATGAAACCCTAGTGGACTCACTCATCACTTCCCAATATGTTTCCTCTTCAACCTCACCGGAATTACTTCGTGTAGCATCATCGTCGTCAAAGGCGGTTGAAGTTAACACTGTCGTGACCAAAGAACAAAAACAAGAACCGATCATCATTTGCGAGATTTGCGCCGAAGCCAAAACTGACGACGAAATGTTCAGGAATCAAAGATGTTACCATTCCTTTTGTTCCGAATGTGTTGTTAAACAAGTGGCAACAAAAATCCAAGAGAACATAACGGTTGTTTCTTGCCCTGGTTTGAACTGCGAGGGTGTGTTGGAGCTTGAAACCCTAAGGCCATTGCTTCCGAAAGAACTGATTGATAGGTGGGATGATGCAATGTGTGAGACTCTTTTGCTTACTGTTCCTAAATTCTATTGCCCTTTTAAGGATTGTTCTGCGATGTTGCTTGATGAGGATGAAGAGGGAGGGGAAGGTATTAGGGAATCTGAATGTCCTTTTTGTCATAGGTTGTTTTGTGCTAGGTGTCATGTTTCTTGGCATCCTGGGGTTGGTTGTGAGGAGTTTCTGACACTGAATGTGGATGAAAGAGGAAGGGATGATCTTCTTGTTAGAGAGCTTGCTAATCAGAATAAATGGAAGAGGTGTTCTAGATGCAGGTTCTATGTTGAAAAAAAGGATGGGTGTTTGCATATTACATGCAGGTTAGTTTATTCTGGTCAAAAATGCAATCCTTTTCTTATTTTGGATGCATATTATGAAAGGAAAGAAACCAAAATTTGTCTACTTTTTAAACATGATTATATGCAGGTTTCTCATTAGAAGGATAATTTGTATATGGCTTGGTTATCTATATTTTTGTCACTTAGATTGTTATGTTTAGATTGATGGAATGCATGATGCAAAGCATTTCATCCCATTTTATTATTTACTATCATTTTTTATATTGTGTCATGACTTTGTTGCTCCTTGAAATATCTAAACAATGGAATAATATATGTAATATGTTTCGTTCCATTCTGCTTTGTTCTACTCTTTTTTATTCTAGTTTTTAATTTAAAATATCCCAACAGTCTTAGTTTTGTTTGGATTGATGGAATGGGATAGAGCAGAGCGTTATGTGATGAAATAAGTGGTGATCCGTTGTTTGAACCATTTGAAATCAAAGGGGAACGAAAGAGAGTGATATAGATTCAATTTCATTCCATCACTTATCACTATATTTTTTCTTCTTGAAATCAAAAATTTTAATTTGTCTTATCCTGTCCTAAAATTTCCAAAAAAAATAGAATGGAATATTCATTTTGCTTGTATGCTCAATTCATTTTATGATATTCAAACATAACCTTAATATCTTTGAGGCTATGTTCTCTTAATTTTAAAACGCATCTCTTTGGTCCTCTAAATTTAATATGTTAACTCATATTAATGGAATGCATTGTGAAAAACTTCTTCCCCAAATTCTCGGGCTTATAAAATCATTAATCTTCTCTAAGTTTGTGACATCATCCATAAACATAAACAATCATCATAGTTGTTTGTGTCTGCTAATTTTGTGTTTTATAATTCTTTGTTGATTGTGTCATTGGAAAATAAATACTAGTATGGAGTGAGGGTACTAACCTTCAATTGGAATGAGCTATGTTGGATTGGTTTTATCGCTTGAATAAGTGTTCCAAAAATCAATATTCTCCATTGCTGCTTTATTAGTTAAAAAATTGATGAAGTTATGAAAAAACAACTTAAACCTCAAAAGTATGTTCAAGGACAAAAAGTAAATTCAACATTTGTTTCTATTTTTGAACTAGTGAATAACTAATTATGTGGTGGTGTTTGATTGCAGGTGCAAACATGAGTTTTGCTATGCTTGCGGAGAACCATGGACAAATACTCATGGTGGGTGCCAAAGAAATTAGATAGACCTTAAAAAGCATGATAATCCATATGGATATCTCTGTTATTGATTATTTTCATGAAATAGATTTGTTTGTGGTTGTTTTGATATGGATAGAGGAAGTTTGCTACAGTTTAGAAGACAATTTGAGGAAGTCTAGGGTGTTTTATGTTTAGTAAAATGTGAATGGTTGTAATAGAAATATGTTGCTTGGTTTTAATACTATGCTAAGTGCTTTTCCTTACCGTGATTTATGCACGCCTTGGATCTTACTTGCTATTTACTTTCTTCTAATTAAGAAATAAAATTAACATCTAAGCGGTTACAATGTTGCCTGTATCTAGCAATTAAGATTCGTGCTTATGCACCAATTCTTTGTCTCTTGCCGCACTCATTTGATTTTTCCAGACAAATGAATTTTCAGAAATTTCCCTAATGGTTTTAGAAAGAAATATATACAAACCTTCTCAAATTGCTATAAATACCTTTCGAATTTGGAGTGTGGTTTTTAATAGACGGGATTCACTTCATGAAATTATCACATTTTATAAAAACTCCAAAAATTTTTTGTATTTTGGATTTCAATCTCCTTACGCATTTATTCTTCAATTAAATCACATCATGACTAAGACATCTCATTTTTTTTCCAGTAAAACTAGTCTGAATTTCAATCTTTGTATCATAGCTCCGCAATTTTAATTTTTAAATTTACCCTATATGACAATTTTTAGATTTACCCTTTTATAGTAAGATATATGAAATATGGCATTTTAAAGATGTAGATCTTTATGAGAAAGGTTGTTCTCTTTGTAGACGTACAACCCATTTTCCATAAGAAAATGATCATCGTTTCAGTTCTTGGGAAACAAGTCAACACATCTGCCGTCCATTTCGTCTGACGTATATTATTGCATGAGCCTGCGAGCGAAAGGGATAATCAGGAAGAATCGATTTTCAAAACACTTTAAGTTCTCCGAAAAAGTCCTGAAACCATGGATAGTTGGCACCAGATGAATCAAACCACAACCTCGTGTCTGAGTGCAGGACCATATTGAACTTTGAAGTAGTTGAAGAAAATGGTCAAAGAAGGTCTCCCGTTTAAATATTCGCACCAATACTGGAAGACTTTTACATACGTTCAACTCGCAGGGTAAAGTTGCGACAGAGCAACCATCAAATGTTTAAGGACTTCCATTTCGATACCATTGAAAGGCGGTTGAAAATCCATAATAATAGAAAATAAACTCATAGAAAGGAATGGCACAATTACCATATTCACTACATATTCTTTCATTTTCACAAGAGGTTAAGACACCCCAATCTGAAGATGGACCAACATCCATAAAGGCTCCACCATGATTACCCTCTCGAGAAAAGACTGAAACAATTGAATAATATACAGGATTTACTCAAGAATCATGAACATCATCTTTTGACTTTTGACTCATGGTGGATATGATTTTCTCTAAACACATGGAAAGGAAAATGTCAATGGAAAGGAAATAACAATGGAGCAAGAAAAACACCTCAAAGAAATGAGAAATTGCCTCTTTAGGAATCGTGTGATGACATACTAAGGGTAATAAACTCTATCAACACTTCAAATCACCTACATGTAATACTCAAGTGTTTAAGTTCCTGAAGATCACTATGAAGGTCCTTCAGGCGAGAATTTTAAGTTGAGTCTCTTAGACAAGACTTTTAAGTTGAGTCCCTCAAGCGATACTTTTAAGTTAATTTTCTCAAACAAGACTTTTCAGTTGAATCCTTTAAGCAAGACTTTTGAGTTGAGTCCCTCAAGAAATAATTTTAAGTTGAGTCCCTCGAGCGAGACTTTTAAGTTGAATCCTTTATGCGAGACATTTGAGTTGAGTTCCTCGAGCAATACTTTTAAGTTGAGTCCCTCAGGTAAGACTTTTAAGTTGAGTCCTTTAGGCGATACTTTTAAGCTGAGTCCATCAAGTGAAACTTTTAAGTTGAGTCTCTCAGGCAAGGCCCTTAAGTTGAGTCTCTTAGGAAAGAATTTTATGTTGAGTCTCTTATGCAAAAAATTAAAGTTGAATCACTCAGGAAAGACTATTAATTTAAGTTTTTAAAGTTGAGTCCCTCAAGAGAAACTTTTAAGTCGTGTCCCTCATGTGAGACTTAAGAGTTGAGTACTTTTGAGTTAAGTCCTTTAGGCGGGAATTTTAAGTTGAGTCTTTTAAGCAAGACTTTTAAGTTGAGTCCCTCAAGTGATACTTTTAAGTTGATTTTCTCAAACGAGAATTTTCAATTGAATCCCTCTGGAAAGACTTTTGAGTTGAGTCCCTCCTGCAAGAACTTTAAGTTGAGTCCTTCAAGAGAGACTTTTAAGTTGAGTCCATCAGGTGAAACTTTTAAGTTGAGTCCCTCAGGAAAGGCTCTTAAGTTGAGTTTCTTTGGTGAAACTTTTATGTTTAGTCTCTCATACAAAAAATTTAAGTTGAATCATTCATACAAGACTTTTAATTTAAGTATTTTAAGTTGATTCCCTCAAGAGAGACTCTTAAGTTGTGTCCCTCAGGTGAGACTTAAGAGTTGAGTCCCTCGAGCGAGAATTTTAAACTGAGTCTCTCAGGAGAGACTTTTATGTGAGTCCCTTAAGCGATACTTTTGAGTTGATTTCCTCAGTCTAGACTTGTAAGTTGAATCCCTCAAATGAGACTTTTAAGTTGAGTTCCTCAGGAGAGACTCTTAAGTTGGGTCCCTCATGCAAGACTCTTAAGTTGAGTCCCTCAAAAGATACTTTTAAGTTAAGTCCCTTGGGCGAGAATTTTAAGTTTAGTCTCTCTGGCGAGACTTTTAATTTGAATCCTTTAGGAGAGAACTTTAACTTGAGCCCCTTAGGCTATACTTTTAAGTTGAGTCCCTCAGGTGAGAATTTTAAGTTGAGTCTCTCAAGCGAAACTCTTAAGTTGAGTCCCTCATGTGAGACTTTTAATGTGAGTCCTTCGGGTGAGAATTTTAAGTTAAGTCCCTTAGGAAAGACATTTAAGTTAATTCCATCAAATGGAGACAAGGATCTTCCAATGGAAGTCCAAAATTTACATTGCCTCTAAGGGTGACAAGTATCTTCCAATGGAAATCAAACATTTAAATTGCCTTTCAGGGCAACAAGGATCTTCCAATGGAATTCTAACATTTAAAGTGCCCATGAGGATGGAAAGGATATTTCAATGGATGTACAACATTTAAATTTCCTATGAGGGTGGAAAGGATCTTCCCATGGAAGTCCAACATTTAAATTGCCTCTGAGGGTGGAAAAGATCTTCCAATAGAAATCTAACATTTAAATTTCCTCTAGGGCGATAAGGATTTTCCAATAGAAATCCAACATTTAAATTTCCTTTGATGGCAACAAGGATGTTCTAATGGAAGTCCAAAATTCATATCAAATTATTAATGGGTCTACCTTAGTGGTTGAATGGGAGGTGGTGTGGTACGATCATAGTACGTCATGGAGTTGTTCAACTCCGAGATCTTTGGCTCCGTCCAACTTTTTCTTTATCCCGCCTAATATGAATTTTTTCACTGACTGGCCCTGCCTATTTGTATGTGGGTGGATAATGAAAATAAACTTCATCGAGACTCCAAGTCGTAACAGAAATCGATAATAGTGGAGCTGGCGAATTGAGCGCCATTGTCTGAAATGTTAATTAATGGAAAACCAAACATGTACATGATCTATTTCCAATATAAGTGGCGAACTCTTTTTTATTTGATCTTGGAAACGAATTAAGCTTCTATCCATTTGTGAAATAATCTACTCCAGCAATCAGGAACTTTAATTGGACAAACGTATGTGAAAAGGGCCTAAGATGTCCATGTTTCATTGGTAGATGTAGCACCCCAAAATTTGCTTTTCGTTTTAGCAGCATCTGGCTTTTGCTTCTTTGCATTTTCGCATTTCCGCATTTGCATAGCATTCACTCTTGAGACAGGAGATCAAGGTTTTCCCTTGGATCAATTTTCATCTCAGTGCATGAACCTGAACAACGAGCATCAGAGGCTCTGACATTTATTTTGCCCAGCGGTCCGGCGACCGATTTTATTTTATTTTGCAGGGCATTTTCAGCTCAGGAAGCAGTATTCAGGCTATCGCCAGCATTTTCATGGTTATGATATTCAAAAGTAAGTTTCAGAAGTTGGACAGAGCTCAAAACAGTTGGAAACAGACAAACGGGCAGATTTCCCTCCAAAAGGTGCCAAAATTCAAATTTTGAAGGTGTTAATCGGTTAACGCATATGGTTAATCGATTAACTAAGTCAAAATCAGGTCAAACCTGAAATTTTGAAGGTGTTAACCGATTAACCTATATGGTTAATCGATTAACCAGTGCAGATTTTGCCTCTGCACGTGAATTTTCAATCCAAACCATTTTGGGGTCCAATTTTGGTCATGTGCAAATTTGATTTTCACTTCGGGAAGGATCTAGAACCTATTTGAAATTTGGTTAATTTCATTTTCCCTCCAAATGCCCATTCCTCATTCCAATCCAAATTTTCCAAACCTTTCATTTGAATCCAAGCCTAGGTGATATTTAAGTGATTCACTCCAAACCTCACACAGCTAATCAATCATAATTCACTCTCACTTTCAGAATTGATCTCATTCTCTCTCAATTTTCTCTCAACTTTCCAATCTCTGAAACCTTCACCAAAGCTCTTTTCTCATTGAGATCATTTATTCTTCATTGGAATCCTTGATTTCTAAGAGCTAAACCTTCATCCATTCTCTCCATTTAGTCAATTTCTTCATCCAATTTTCGTGCAAAATTGGATCTGAACTTGGAAGTGATTTTGGAAGTGATTATTTGGAGCAATTTGGTTTAATCTTGGAGGATCTTCATTGCTACTACAAGAATTGGTGTGGATCTTGAAGTATTCCGGACTTCTAGCATTGGATATACTCAATTACAGTTAAATCAACATTAACCGGAGCAAATCTCCGCTCCGAAGGTTGGATCCGAATTTGTTTTTAGCTTATTTGCATAATCATGT